ACGGCTCGTACGTTGTCGCCGTGTCCGGCGCCAGCGAAGGCAATCAAGAGACAGAAACCGCAGCTCCGCTCAATCCTTCACCTTCTCAATCCGCACCAGAGATGATTCCGTAGAGGAATCTCTTCAATCAATCACAGAGAAACTTCAATTCAGAGGAGAGGAGAATCCCTACTCCATTTCTTGACGCGTCGAGTTCTCTGACTGCAACAAACAATGCTATTGAAATTATTGGACGTGTCGAGTTCCCAACTCGACACGTCAAATTCTCTGTATCAGCCTTCTAACTCCATTTCGGCTTCAAACTTGTCTTAGGACTTCCCCTCGCCTTTGCAATTGTTCTACAATGATTTCAAAACACTAACAAACACCGTAAAACATTCAAATCAAGTATAAATTCATATCCTCATGGGAAAGCAATGGAATATACACTGAAAGTATCAATTTAACGAATTTAAAACCCAAAAATATATTCAAATTAGTAATAAAATCATGCATAAATAAGCTCACATCAAGTATCATTTTAAATTCTTAATCTTTTTTTGAAAGGATTTTAAATTCTTAATTGATAGTACAAAATTTAAAAACAAACTACCATGACTACCAACTTACCTAATTTGGTGAGTTTCAAGAAATATTGATAATGCATGAAGGGAAAGTTTACCAGAATAAATTTATGACTTCTAAGAAGATTGAAGTTCAATTTTCATTTTCTTCAATTGCAAAGCATTAAAGAAAAAAAAATAATAAAATTTGATCTCATAATTATACTTGGGATAAGTTCGAGGATTGAACAAATACCAATTTTGGTCCCACGAGTATAAAATGACAGTTTTGGTCAACATGTTTAATTTTTACCAATTTTCATCCACGACTATTGTTTTAGTACCAATTGTCATCCACGATTATTTTCTTAGTGTCAAAATTCATCACGCCGGTCACCCATCCGTTTAAGACATGCTGAAATCTAAAATTTTTAAGGATATTTCGTCATTTTCAAATTTAGATCCTAATTTAAGCATGAATTTAAGCTCTAAGATCGATCTCAATTCGCAGTTATCCTCCTCATCCTACCTTAATTTGAGGAGGAGAACTGCGAATTGGGATCAATCTTAGAACTTAAATTCATTTATTTATGCTCAAATATAATTGGGATCGTAATTTGAAAATGATGAAAATACCCTTAATAAATTCATATTTCAGCATGTTTCAAATGAAGGGATAACCGGCGTGATGAATTTTGGCACTAAAACAATAATCGTGGATGAAAATTGGTACTAAAACAATAGTCATGGATGAAAATTAGTAGGAATTAAACATGTGGACCAAAACTATCATTTTGCTAATACTCGTGGGATCAAAATTGGTATTTGCTCTTCGAGTATTGTATAACAAGCAATGTTGCAAAAATCCCGCCTAGGCACCGATTAATCGGCCCCTAGGCGCTAGGCGCTGGCCGGTCGCCTAGCGTATCACCATAATTGATGGTCTAGGCGGACGACTAGGCCGCCTAAGTGCCGTCTAGACCGCCTAGGCCTCCTAGGCGCCTCCTAGGCCTCCTAGGCACAGACTAGGCCGCCTAGGCACCAACTAGGTCGCCTAGTCGGCCAATTAACTATTGTTCCATTCTTTTTTAAGTGAGTTATTTCACTCAAAACGACATCGTTTTGAGTGAAATAATCCTAAACTCTTCAAACTCTAAATTTTTTTAGGCTAATATTTAATATTTTAGTATTAACTATTAAAGTATTAAATAATTTATAATTATCAAGTCTTAAAAAATTAAACAAATTTAAACAAATTTTTAAAAATAAAAAATACACGGACGCCTAGGCGCTAATTAATCCCCGCCTAGGCGCTCCCCGAACGCCCAAGGGGCGCCTAGCGATTTTTTCAACTATCATAACAAGACATTGCAATTGTGAAATTTTAGAAATGTAATCGCTCAAAATAAAAGTTTGCCAAATTTTGAATCAAAATATCAAACGTGATAAAGATTGGATATTTTAATAATAAATGTCTATTTTTTATAATTGAGGATTAAAAATGAAAAAATTACCAAAGATAAAAAAAAATAGAATTTGAATAATGAATCCATTTTAATCTGATCTAAATTGATAATGAATCCTATCAAAATAATATATCTTAAAATAGCTACTCATATTACTTAACAAAAAAATAGCTACTCATATTTCAAATCGTGATATTTTCCCAACAATTTGAGATCATTTTCAATCTAACTATTGCTTATTTGTTTTTAATTGCTTATCCTCTAACCTAATATATATTATTTTCCTAAAGTAATACCCATTATATTCAACAATCAAATCAATCATCACGAATATTTTAATATATTAGTTTTAGCTCTTAGAAATCTACATACCAACAATTATGATTTTTATTTTAATTGGAAAATATTTCTTTCCCTCTTGAATTTTTCTCCCAGATTCTCTTGAATTTTTCTCCCAGATTTTTATTTATAATGTGACTTTCATTCATTCTTCCAAAAGGCTGAACCCCAACCCTAAGGGCCCCTACACCCTGACCCGACAGAGTATTTGGGAGGATGTAAATCATGGTAACTCAACTGAACATGAACCACAGAGGCTAGACCGGTGCTCAGACTTTCATTCATTAAATGTAGGGGTATCAAGGTGGCCTGAAGTTCGTGAAACAGTATAATATTAAAAACATAAAAGAAATTAAAATATTTTAATTTATAAACACGGAATAATATAATTTAATATTATTTATATTAAATTATTGAAATATAGAATAATAGTATAATATTTTTTTATAAAAAATTGAAAGTTGTCCCGTGAGCTAAACCGCGAGACTCACGAGCCTACATGAAACAGGTTAGGGTTGCATAATCCTAACCCGCGAACTTCGCAGACCGATTTACATTGACATTCTTAATTAAATATTTAAAAATTGACTGACTCATCATTAATTTTTTTTAAACGAATACTCTGTAGTTAATAATTAAATGAGTCAAATAATTTCACTTCAATAGAAAAAATGTAAGTAAAATAATGAAAAAATATGTAGCATTACTCTTATCAATTTTGCCAAAGAATTGTTCTCTGATCACTGGACCGGCCTAAAGAAACCATGTTTGCCAATAAAGGTATGTCTTGTAATGTTGGGAAATTGTGTAAAGTGGCCATCGTGCCAGCAGGTTCTTTGAACAATGACTTTGACAAATGCAGAATTCTTTTTATTTATTTATTTTATTTTAAATTAAAAAAAATACTAGAATTTTACTCATGCTTAATTTTTTAAAAATACCTTAAAATTAATGTTATATGTTGTTGAATAATACTAAAAAATTAATTAGCGTTTAATAATAATATAGATTTAAATAGAGATATTATAAAGATTTATTCAAATAAGTTATAAATAATAAGTGTGAAATTTACAGTTTAATACAATTGTATTTATTTTAATTTGCTAGGTTTTAAAACAATGCAAAAATATATACTCTCTTGTCACATTTTTTTTTTTTGGATGCACTCTCTTGTCACATTATTTAGCAAGAAGTAAAATTTCTGAGATGAGGTTAGACTCATAGGGAGTGTTGAGCTCATTTATATCCAAAAATGATTTACCTATCCGATGATCCCACGTCGGATGGACTATGCAATTTGAGCCTATGGCTCCTTTATGAAAGGGGCCAATTTGAAAATGGAGTAATTTGTTTTATATATATGATAGCCTCATTTAGGAGGGGTTGGGAAAAAAAGTTTTTTTTTTTTCTTAAATTATCAAAATCCTAAACGCTGCAAAATGCAATAATATCACCTCAAAGTCGTTATGCTGTGCATGCATCTGGATGCAAAAATGACGTTGTTTTGACGTCTAATTTAAAAAAAAAAAAAAAAAAAAAAAATTGCATAACTACACATCCATAATTTCATCACATCCATAATTTCATAACTATAAATTCAGAATTGCATAACTATACATCTATAATTTCATAACTATAAATCCAGAATTGCATAACTACACATCCATAACTTCATAACTATACATTCAGAATTGCATAACTACACATCCATAACTTCATAACTATAAATCCAGAATTGCATAACCACACATCCATAATTTCATAACTACACATCCAGAATTTCATAACTAAAAATCCAGAATGAATGAACTAAAAAATGAATAACATAATGTTGTTGCTAGGAATCGAAACTGATTTTTTTAAAAAAATATGACGCGCGTTTTGACAAAACGACGTCGTTTTTGCATCCGTATGCACCATGTATGGTGCATACAGATGCACAACATAATTTGCTCAAAGTGAGTAGTAAAGACTTTGAATTCGTATTGAGTACAAAGTTAATATTGTTCCTACACTATTTTACTTTGAGTTTTTACATGAGGCATGGTGTGATGGACACCATAGTTTTTCCCCTTAGTCATTTTCAATCAAAACATCATTCTGCTCATTCATCAACAAAATTGTTGAAATGATGTTAAATACAACGACATTCCAATCTTTTTGAATTTTTAAATACAAAATGGGTTGACCTGTTATATTTTTATGTTTATATTTTTTTTACAAATTTTCTAATTAAAGACCGAAATGTCTTTGTATTTAATGTCACTTAAATTATTTTCTTGATAGAAGACACAAAATGATTATGTCATAATAATTCTAAAAAAAATAATTAAAAGTGGATTGATATCTATAAAGTGCTCAGATGACATATAGTGACTCTCCCATATGGGGAGATCATAAGATCGAGCCTTCAATGTAGGCGTTGTTGACTGTGCTAAAGTATGTTTGAATAGATACTACAATACAATAGAGTCAGTAGCATTAAAAAAAACTCTATAGAGTAAAGTGTGGTAGATATAAATATGAATAATATGATGATGAATGGTGGGGTGGGTATAATATAATTAAGGTGGGGCAGCGAGATATGAAAATGGGGTGAAGCACTTTGTATTTGTCCCTTGCAGCTAGCGGCGCTGGGAATCGGGGGATTGAAAGGAAAACACTTTTACCAAATCCAAAACAAAGCAATCATGCCCGCATTCTCCGATATTTCCTATCTTTTCCCACTTTCTCTTTCCTCTATCTTTTTCTCTCACATTATTCATATAATTAAGTAAACTAAATATATATACAATTTGTACCAGAAAATCAGAAATCCAAACCAAGTCCTACATACCAATCCCACAGGTCACAGGGGTTGATTATATTTTTTTCTCTTTTTCTTCTCCCTTCTTGCTGTTCACCCACCACTCATTCAAATCCTTTCCAGAAACAAACCCTCTCTCTCTCTCTCTCTCTTTGCTCTTTCCACACGCACAGGAAAGAAAATGGGGAAATGCTGATCAAAGATTCAAAGCCCTTAACTTTCTGCTCTCTATCTGATACTTTTTCCTGTCTTTTTCATCCTTTGATCAATGCAAAATTTTGCTTTATTTGTTGTTTGGTTCTATTCATTGACAATTTTGGTATGAGTCTCAGTATTTAATTTGCAGTTTAGCTTTGATTATTGTTTTTCTATTTTGAGAAACGGAAAAGTGTATACTGAAGAAGACTTGATTGATCCAAGTGAATCTTCATTGATCTTTGCAATGGAGTATCTATTTCCCCATTTTTAATTATTTTTTTTTGCTTTGCTCGAAAGAAATCTGGGAATCGCTGCCAAATCCAGCTCAGATAATCCAGTTGGGAATGTTCTTTCTTTCTTTCTGCTTTCTTGATCTGCAAAACAAAGATCAAAACTTGATTGGATTTTTAGCCGATCAGAGAGTTTTGCAGTAATGGGTTGTGCTACTTCAAAGCCAAGAGTCTGCCGGCACTGCAAGGCTCCATGTTCTCCGGTGCACCGGAGCTATTCGATGCAAGGGGAGGCGGCCTACCACACGGTGGCGCTCACCTCCTCCACGCTGGGGTCTCTGAAGCTCGATCCACTGAATCAGAGCCAGAATCAGAACCAGATTCATTGTATCAACGACGATAAAGATGGGTTTGGGATGGGATTGATTGAGGCAAAAACGTGGTCGGAAATGATCAATGAAAAGATTCCGAAATTGGTCCCGAAAACGCCGATACGCACTCCTCCCGGCGAGCCGGAGACGATCAATGCTTGGGAGTTAATGGAGGGGCTCGAAGACGTTAGCCCTCTCAAGCCTCCCCACCATCTCCGAAGCTTCTCCTTCCAAGTGCCCCGGAACCCGGGTCTCTTCCCGGACGATCAGCCGACTCCGAGAGTGAAAGACGACGGCGACGCATCGGTTAAGCCGCCGCCGTGGGCGGCGGAAACCGGCGACGACGAATCGAATTCCACCTCAAATGACACCTCAATCGTGCCGGAATTTGACCCGGAGATGATATCCGCTTTCAGAAAAGCGCTGGAAAATCCGTTTGTTAGAGAAGAAGAAGAGTATAAGAAGAATCTGGGGAAAAACAAAGTGGTTTTATACTTCACGAGCCTGAGAGGAGTGAGGAAGACGTACGAGGATTGCTGCCATGTTCGAGCGATTTTGAAGGCGATAGGAGTTAAAATTGACGAGAGGGATGTGTCTATGCATTCTGGGTTTAAGGAGGAGCTGAAAGAGCTCTTGGGGGATACTTACGGCGGCGCGTGCTTGCCCAGAGTGTTCGTCGGTAAAAACTTCCTCGGCGGCGCCGATGAAATCAGGCGAATGCACGAGGACGGCCAGCTTGAGAAGGCGGTGGAAGGCTGCGAAATGGCGGATGGCAGTGGCTGCGCCGCCGCAGGAAATGGTGGCGTTTGTGAGAGCTGTGGGGATATAAGGTTTGTGCCGTGTGAGACATGTTCCGGGAGTTGCAAAATTTACTGTGAAGCTGATTACGAGGACGACGAGTACGAGGACGATGATAATAAGGATGATGATTATGGTTTTCAGAGATGCCCAGATTGCAACGAGAATGGACTCATACGATGTCCAATTTGTTGCGACTGAAAACAGTTTGTGAAGGGATAAATTATGGTGATTCAACTGATTAAAAAAAGTTAAACTTTTGTTCATTGTGCACAAAAAGTCCTCTTTATTTTGAGAGGTTACTCTTACATTGTGGCTGGTGAGACTCAATCTTTTTGGTGATTTTCTAAAATCATCGTGAGATGCATGTTGTACAGAGAGTTTGATATTGTGAGGAGAGATTTATGACCCAATTACCATAGGTATATTATATACAAGTTGTGTAACATGAATGTATGTTACTACTTTTACAGATTGATTGTTATGAGCAGCATAATATATATAACTATATAAGCCACCCAGTGTCCTCAAAGCTTGTAATGGCATACAATTTGTGTTTCAACCAACAGTTTATCCGTTTTGCAATTTTATGTTTTGTGGCATTTCCTAATACATTAAATTGCATTTGGTTTCTGTGTTCCCCACTTCTTTGAAGCACAAAGTGAGGGAAAAAAAAAACAGAAACCAGATTGGAAAGCATCAACGTCTGGGTGGGTTGGGTTGTTGGATATTATAAATTTGAATTAAATAAATAATAATTTGGAGCGTGTTGAAAGTTGATTAGGTCAACATAATCATTCTTCGTGACGGATTCTGCCTACTTGACTCACTCCTTTGATTCTTGGCTTCAAATATGAACTCCATAACAACTGTCATCACCCAACGGATACTAATATATTACTCCGTATTACTTTTTTTTTTTTTTTTTTTTTTTGAAAACCTAATATATATTAATATTACTGATAAATAAATACGGAGTTGACAAAATTAGGTTGTTTTGGTAACAGGAAGTTTTATGCTAGTCAATCTTTGTTGTTTCTTATTCGAACTCAAATGGTCAAAACAAAAAGTGCGGTTGTTAGGATAACTCCAATCAACAATAAGGTCACAAGTTTAAATTTTAATTTGCTTGGTTTAAGCAGATCAACTATGAACAATTTAAGTTGGTTCCCGACTAAGATCACAAGACTAGATTTATATAGTGCACGCTCTCAGATAGTGACTACAGGTTTCCCAGTCGCTCCAAAAAAAGTGTTAGTTACCCTGTCCACAATGCTTTCAGACCCACAAGGCCACAACACAACACGGATTCAAAGGCTTAATCCCGCGTACGGGTAGGCTATTTAAATATTGCCACCTTCGTGCTTTAATGGCCGGGCCGGCAGTGCAGTAGTTGAGCTTGGTTTCAGGAATGTGTTTGGAAGGCTAGTTTTGATAATGACAGTTATACAAATATATTCTTGTTTTAAGGAAACAAAGACATTATGACCTAAAACAACCACCCTAAAGGCATTTACCTATGACAGAAATGTCATGTATGAATCTGCTACAATAGACTTCAATGATACTACTACAATGATATGAAGTTACCATTCCTCAAGGCATCGTATTACCTTTCTTACCCAAATCAGCAGTAGCCTTGGCAGCGCGATCTAAAACGCCTGAAACCCAAAGGGCACCCTTTGCAAAGTAACTGCTGTTCACAACTGCAGCAGCAGCAGCTATAGCGGTTTTCCCTGTATAAGATGCAGCATTCTTGGTAATCTCGGACACGTGGTACTTCTCATCGACAGATTTAACAGCCTCCACTCCGGAATTGATTTTATCAGTGAGCCCGATTTTCATGCTAAGCTCTGCCACCTTGGCTGCTGCAGTTGACGACACCTGATGCTCCTCGTCAAAGGCTTTGGCTTTCGCTAATGCATCTTTACTCAACACGTATCCCTTAGCAATCATGGTTGTGACTACTTGTTGAGCAATAGTCACAGCCTCTCCAGGGGTGGAAACAAATTCATTTGCATGAGTTACCTGACATCAGTTAAAGAAATCTCAAGAAAATGCAGAAGAAAGCAGGTCAGAAACTAAAACGGACCAAACTCTGTAACATACCTGTGAACTACTTTGATTGTCCATTCTACTAAAGAAAAAAGGATCATGTGCATCTAACTTATCTTCCAGGCGAGTGATACGGACACATTGATCAACGATAGCAGATCCCTGAAATAATTATATCAGATGCCAGGAATTTCAATGACCTGATTCCTTGGCAAAGTGAAATCAGGGAATTGAATATAATTACCAAACTTCATGTTGGATAAAACTGTTGGATTTTATTGTAATTGCAGAGAGAAGTAGGTAGAAGATAAAAGAAGCAAAGTTAAAATCAGTCTCCTCAACAAGACCTCAAGCCTCATATAGGAATACCTACCTAAGGATATGTTATGGCGTTCATTTACATAAAATATTTTGGAGAAGTGGAGGTGTTGATACAAAGGTATGGACACCAGAGAGCAAAATGTTCAAAGCTGTGACTGATTTTTTTTTTTTTTTTTTTTTTTTTGAAACACTCATGACTCTTTACAAGGTAGTATCTACTCTATACTTTCTCAATCTTTTTCAGCCTAAAGAATCAATGCCCCCACCACCGGGGTTCGATTCTGTGATTACCCATTTGGAATGATAACAGAAGTGTCATCACACTACATAGTAGTTGGCAGCCGTTAGTGACTGATAATGAGCAGATTATCTAACTTTAGAGCCTCAAACTGGAGCCATGTTACTAAGCTGAAAGCTCAATCTTATTCAACAGGAACAGAACCTTTCACCCTGTCTGGTATTCAATTCACTGGCTTCAACCACTGTCACTCTTTTTACTTGGCAGTCAACCTTTCATCACACATAATGCTATGGGGTGTAGCTCCTATTCTACTCACCTTTCTAGCGCTTAATCAAAATTAATTACCTCAAAAAGACCATGCCATATCTAGGTAGAACATTTTGAGATATGAACGTGAGCAATAGTCAAAAATAAAAGTGATATAAGAGTAAGAAAAATTATAATTCATTGGCTCTCTAAGCCTTGTGGTATTGGTAGTGTGAGTATTTAATGGTGTCTCAATAAAACCCTGGAAGAGGTAAGTGAGAGGTTAGGGGTGAAGCATGTAAAAAGTTGGAATCTGTTTAAGGTCCGAGAAACTCTGTTTGCATATGTAGCATAAATCGTGGGAGTTGCTGCAGTCAGTAAGCTATAGCCTTCTTAGAGTTTTGCCAGTAAAGCAAGAGCTTAACTAGTTTACTAAGACCCTCCCCTGAAACAAAAGCGTGGACGCCACCACAGGTGAACACAAAGTAGACCGCTCTAATACCATGTTATATTCTAAGATTGGATCGAGGTCACTCAATTAGGCTATAATGCACATAGGCCAAACCACACTAAAAATTGAATCCAACCAATTAACTAGTCAAACCAGGACCTTATAAATCCATACGTTCTAACCCAAAAGGGTAGCTCAAGTGGCAAAGGAACTTCTTTGTTGGGAATTGGGACAATAACCCGGGTTTGATTCCCACAAGTGACAATTCTCCTTGGACCAGCTCCTTTGCCTCATCGGGTGGACCCGGACCGTTAATCAAACAGAGAGAGATTAGAAACACTTCGTGGGTTTACACCAAAAAAAAGATAATCACATACGTTCTCTCTTATATTTTCACTCTTAACAGGAACAAATAAAAAAACTAATTTTAATTCTGTAAATGGTCATTGAAAATGATTGTCTCTAGGCCAAATCACAGACAAATAGGAGCACAACTGAACTGTTTTGTGAGGCATGAAGAAGAAAAAATGTGGCACTGAACATCCAGAATGTCGTAACATCCTTCTCATTTCTTCAATCATTGTATTTAACTCATACTCTACAAGACTACAATTCTACATTGCTTAATGAAGTGTAAATGAAGACTTACACTAAGCAAGAGAGCAGTTTCCACTCCGTAAGCCTCTTTAAATGTAACGTAGGCTAAAGAAACATAATCGCTCAATCTGTTTTCAAAATAAAAAAAACAAACAAACAAACAAAACTCTATAAGCCATCAAATTCAAAGGACTCCGGTTTCAACATCACACAATTCATGCAAGGCGCTGGATTCATGTCAAGAACATCAATTCATGCATAATAAAAAGAGAAAAAAGTTCTTATCGTAACTCTGCTCTAATGAGAGTACAATAAAATAAGGAAATTGACGCAATTCAAAAAACCTGCCTGATGATCTCTAGGTGTTCAATGTCGCCGCAGTAAGAGAAAAACTCATACACCTCTTTGTCACTGGCATTGGGAGAAAGCCCTGTGACTTCCACCGTATAATTTTCCACAATCATGGATTCAGAAATCCGAAAAGCCAATTTTACAGAGATCAAACCTGATCGAATCAAAATCGAAAGCACAAAATTAATCGAATTAAGAAGCGAAGCGTTAGTAAATTGTAACCTACCTGTTCTGCCTCGTCTATGGCCAAGATCGGGTAGATGTCAGTGGAAATTCGGAAGAAAATGAGAGAGAGAGAGAGAGCACCGGGTGGAACGTTAGCCAGCTCATCAAACGAAAGCCTACTAGCTCGTTTAACAAAAGGGGGCATACTAATACGCGCTGCTGCGTACGTCACGGAAACGCACCAATCATCTTCCGCCGGGTATTGTTTCTATGGTAATTTCCAGTGGAATGGCGAAAGTGGATTTCGGCCCACCCTACTTTTGACTTACAAAACTGGCCCAATTATAAAGCTTAGAGAACTGGGCTCAGCGTTATAGAATTTGACACGAGCCCATATGTATTCTCGATATTTAAATTTCGAGCCGGACGGATCAACCCAGGCAAATTATGCTGTGCATCCGTTGCACCATGCATGGTGCATACAGATGCAAAAACGACGTCGTTTTAATAAAACGCGCGTCTCCCTTTAAAAAAAAAAATCAGGTTCGATTCCCAGCAACAACATATGAACTATAATTCCATAATCGATGAACTATAATTCCATAATCGATGAACTATAATTCCATAATCTAATCTATGAACTAAAAATTTCAAAATGAATGAACTAAAATTCCATAATCTATAAACTAAAATTTCAGAATCGATGAACTACAATTCCATAATCGATGAACTATAATTCCATAATCAATGAACTATAATTCCATAATCTATAAACTAAAATTCTAGAATGAATGAACAATATAATGTTGTTGCTGGGAATCGAACTTGAATTTTTTTAAAGGGGAGACGCGCGTTTTTTAATAAAACGACGTCGTTTTGGCATCCGTATGCACCATGCATGCTGCATACGGATGCGCAGCATAACGATTGATCAACCCACGACCATTATACAATGGATCATGCTCAAAACGATGTCATTTATTTTCATTAAAAGAAACAGCATCTGTTCCGTCCATTACGTTTTGTATGCGCTAAGTTTTTTGTTTTGTTTTTTTTTTTTCTTTTTAATGATGCTGTAATGACATTAAATGTGTATAAAATAAAATCGCATAATAGATCTCGCATATTCAATGTATATTGTCAAATGAAACTATAATGAATTAGAATGATACTGTAGTGGTGCTGTAATGAAACTACAATATGTATTAAATGAAATTGATTAGCAGGTATCACATATTGAATGTATATTGTCAAATGAAACTGTAGTTGAATTAAAATAATATTTTAGTTATGTTGTAATGAAACTGTAGTTGAATTAAAATAATATTTTAGTTATGTTGTAATGAAACTACAATATATATAAAATGAAACTGGACAATTATCTTCAACTACAAAAACTTTAATCTAAAAGAAAAACAAGTAGAATAATACAATTAAAACTCCTAAAAATGGCAAATTATATCGTGCACCGCGGTGCATAATCGAGTATGCACCGCGCATTAAAACGACTTCGTTTTGTTTAAAGAAAAAAAACGGCATTCATTTCCCGTCGTTCCGCACTCTTCCACAAAAAGTAACTCTGTTATTCAGTTTCATTTTGTATACACTGCAGTTGAAGACAACTACAATTTCATTTTGATATAACTACAGTGTCATTCGATATTTATAGACTCAAATATGTAAAAATGTTATTTAATTTTATTTTATATACACTATAGTTTTATTAAAACACAACTCCATGATCATTTTGATATAATTACAGCTTCATTGTACAATATACACTCAAATATGTGAAATGTTATTCAGTTTCATTTTATACACAGTGCAGTTTCATTTACCACAACTACAATATTATTTTGATATAATTGCAGTTTCATTTGATAATATAAAAATAATACGTGAGGCAGTGTCGGTTTAGATATACTGTAGTGTCAGTTTAGATACACTGTAGTGTCAGTTGGTAATTAACATACAAAAAATGTGCACTCTGTTAACACTAACGGCGCGCCCTTTTTGTACTTAAAGAAACGGCTCCATTGACATGCACCGCGGTCCACGATATAACGACCCCTTAAAAACAATACAGTAAACGAATCAAAAACCTAGAACTGATGAACTGTGATAATAAATAAATAACATCATAACTCTGACTCTTCGAAATGGAAGATCACAGGTTTGAACCGGCAATTTATATCGTGCACCAGGGCGCACATTGCATTGTGCGCCCTGGTGCAAAACGACGTCATTTTACACTTTTTTTTTCAAATTCCGCTTTTCCGTGTTTGTTGTTAACTTGTTAACAAAAAAAATTAATGTTTTGAAAATGTACATAATTGTACACTAAAATGTACATAATTGTATATGAGAATGTACATAATTGTATAACAGAATACACATAAACTTTTAACTGTTAAAAAAATCGCGTGTTTGAATGTACATAATTGTATAAAATAATGTACATAATTTTATACCAGAATATACATAATTGTATAACATAATGTACATATTTATATAACATAATACACATACACTCTGTTGCGTCGACTCTCCACACAACTTAACAAAATGACGTCATTTTGGGAGGCACGGGGCGCACAGTGCTATGTGCATCGTGGTGCAGGATATAACAATTAGTTTGAACCATAGTGAGGATATTGACTCTTTGTACTTCAGTAGATTGAGAAAGTACGTATAGAAAAATAATACATTATAACATAGTTAGTACTAGTAAAAAAAAAAAAAAAAAATTGATGGGCCTGGGGTTAAGCCCATAATGGTTGATGAGGGTTGGAACTTGGGTCAGAGTGTTTGGGGTCAATTGATGGATTTAGTGGATTCGGAAGTGGGTTGGATAGAATAGGCTTTGAGGCTAATTAGTAAATAATGAAAAGAAGGGTCCAAATGAGCAATTTGGTGAGCTAGGAGGCTGTGGTGGTGGGGGCACATTTCCAACTTGTGCCTAGCTATTAAAACCCATAAATTTATGTTGGAGATACGCAAAATGGTCCTCGATTATAGCGATTTTTCTCAATTTCATCCTAAATGACTTTAGTGACTTAATGTAGTGCCAACCTTTTGTATTTTTACTCAATTTAATTTTCTGTTTGTTATTTCGTCAAATTGGTGTTAAATAAAGAAACAATTCAGTAATCTCAATATTGGCCTCTCTTTACTCTCAGCTCTGCGAAGTGCGAAATCCCTCTTTCTTTTATGAATTACTTCTAAAATTACTCCCAAATCTGAGAATCAAATTTTATATTCGCAGGTTTGGGAGTAATTCGTAAAAGAAAGAGAGATTTCACACTTCGCAGGTCTAGGAGTAAAGAGATATCAATATTGAAATTACTAAATTGTCCATCTACTTAACACCAAATTGATGGAATAACAAACGGATGATTAAATTGAGCAAAAATACAAAAGTCTGGGACTATATTAAGGTACCAAAATTGTTTATGACGAAATTGAGAAAAACTATTATAGTCGAGAACCATTTTGAGTATCAACTCATTTATGTTGCCAAAACTATGCGGTCTAATGGTACCCGGGTTGGACTTCCATTTAGAAGGTTGTCATTTCGAGTCTCAGTGGAGGTACACTGTAATAGAATCAGCATCATTCAAAAAATGATGCTTAACTTGACCTTAGCAGGACTTGACCGAGTTGGTGTAAAACTTAGCACCCGGTGATGAACCATGCATGGCCTAAGCGTGCAACCAATAAACGTGTTTTCCATTTTCCATTTTTTTACCTCTTCAGTTTTATACTTTTTTTTTGGGGGGAAATTCTTCATTTCTCCACTTTATAAACAACCCCTAAACTTGTGAAAAAAAGCTTATCACGTTCCTATTACATGTTCATAAAATTACTGTTATAGGGTTATAAAGTCATTATTGTAAGTTCATAGCAGATCTATAAAATCACTGTCATATGTTCAATATATAGTCACTACTACACATCGTACAATTCTTAAAATAATATATTAAAAAATATATCAATATATATGTCATTTAAAAGATATCAACAATGTATTTTTAATGGTATATATTTTTATATGGTGATCTTATTTATAAAAAAAAAAACACAAAAACAAAATAATATATTTAAGTGATAATTAATCAATTGGTTCATTCCATGATATAATTTCCCATTGTAAAAATAATCTTAGAATGGAGTAAAAATAAATTTTAGACTAAAATAAAAGTTTAATATATTTTTTTTTAAAGAAATAATTGTCAAATAGGCCACTACACTTATTATTTCTATGCAATTGGGTCATTGAACTTAAAATGTGTGCAGTCAAACCATTAACGAACTAAAATATGTGCAATTGAGACATTTTTCCAAATTTCCAGAAGAATTCGATCATAGTACTAACATGGTATGTACTAAGAATCGTTATTTCTACTACCATACTAGTTGGGATGAAAATTGAAGCATTTTCAACCCAAATTGCATTAAAAGAAATCATAAAATGAAAATGTCTCAATTGCACATATTTTACTTGTTTGATAGTTTAATTGCATACTTTTAAGTTCAGTGACTCAATTGCACAGAAACATAAGTCCACTGATTTATTTGACATTTTTCTTTAAAAAAAAATGATGTGAAATTTTAAATAAGGACTTAAAACATTCTTAACGCCCTCATAAATGTCATCTTTAAAAGATCGAAACATTCCTAACATCTTAATAAACATATATCACCCTTAAAAAAAAAATTATTATCACTTTCTTTAGACACTTGATTTATCAAATCATTGTATGTTTTCAATATTAAAAAAAATTAAAATAATAATAATAATAATAAGTTGTGAATATTGATTGACCCGACCGGTTCACAAAATAAGACTAAATAATGTTGTCAAATAATGAAAAGAATAATGTTGAATTGACGTTTATATATCTTTCCAATCTTACAGTAGTTTGTTGGTATGGTTGGGACTAAAAGGTTTTCTCTGGAGGCAAAACCTTCGAAAATTGTACAATTTATGAGCGGGATTTGTCGCCAATTATGAAAATAAAATAACACATATAAATATCTGATGTCCACTGTCAAGGTGACCATAATATATATGTAATGTAACAGCAACATCGCTGTCAATTGTCATCATCAAGAAAGCCGTATGTTTTTTAGGGTGTGTTTAATTGGCACATAAGAATCAGAATCGGAATTAGAATCAAATATTTGATAATAACAATGAGTTCTGGTGGAAGTACATTGTATGTTTGGTAGTATGGTGGGATTGGAATGATTACGTTATGTATGACGATACAATGGGAATAATGGTTTTAAAGATACAAAAATAAAAAATCAAGGCAATTGATCTTAATATAATGACATCCAAAACACCAATATGAAAAAAAAAAAAAAAATCAAAACAAAACTCTAAAAACACTAATCCTAACTTAAAAATCATATTATCAAAAAGATGGAATGATACATGTTTTTAATTAGAGAATGTGGTTTTTAATTGAAGGAGTAATCAAATTGCATAATTGTATTTTAAAAAGTTATCAACCAAACACTAACTATGATTTTGATTCTCATTCTTGGTGTGTAAACCCATAAACCAAACACACCCTTAATTTCTTCTCTTTTAAGAAAAAGGGAAAATGACACTTTTTCCCCTATGTTATATACTTATAGCACTTTTTTCCCCTTAGTTATTCAAGTGGTAGTTTTTCCCTCTAATATGTTAAATGGACATATTTACCCTTAAAATAAATATTTCATTTACTTTTCTTCTCCAACAAATTATGACAGTAATTTGGTTCAAACCGAACAGACACTATACCAACCAAATCGAAAGGTTTCGATTATAATTTAGAATCGGAACTCGATATTTAGAGTTTATTAAAATTGTGAACCGGAACGGGGGTTCATGTTCCGAACTAAAAAAATAAAATACATTAATTGTTAAATTTAAACTATTTTAAAAATAAAAAATAAAATTTTAAAAGAAAGTTTGAACCAACAGTTCCAACTGGATTTGTAACCATGAACCGGCGGTTCAAAATCAAAATCAAATTGCGGTGATATATACTTATATGTGAGAATCATAATAAATGCGAAAAAGAACATACACTATTTATAAATTTTGTAATTCTAATTTTAAGCTAATGCTAGTAGTTGTTCCGATTTGAACCGGCGGTTCACAGTTCAATATCCAATGATTTCGGTTCATGATTTTATTAACTGAAACCCAAATAATGATTTCTGGTTCTAAATCATAACCGGAAACTTTTGATTCGATTGCTATAGTGTCCGGTTCAGTTCGAACCGAACCGTGGTCATTCGTACGTATAAGCGATAATTTGTTGAAGAAGAAAAATAAATAAAATATTTGTTTTAAGAGTAGAAATGTCTATTTAATATATTAGGGGAGAAAATCGCCACATTTAAAATAATTAAAGGGGCTAATGTGAGTACATAAATAATTCAAGGGAAAATGTGATATTAACATATAATTCAGGTGGAAAAAGTGTCGTTTTCTCTAAGAAAAATTAATAAAAGTTTTAAAATTGGATTTGGACACACACTACACACTGCAGCAGATGAATTTTCCAACTGAAAGCAACATAATGCCAACTTATAAACATGATTAGCCATTAGTCACTATTGCTAGAACTTCAATCATTTAAATCTTTATTGACAGTTAGTGCCTTGAGTGTCTTGTCTTGTATTTGAACATGAAGATCAGAGCCAAACCAGACAAATGACTCTACACTACATATGATGTCGTTGTGATTTATATCCCAAGAAAAATGTATATTGTTTTTGGACTATATAGTTTAGGTTTATAAATTATTAGTGATGGTATATTTGTGATTAAACTCAAAAATTGTAAAATTATACACTTGACATAACGAGATGGAAACTATATCTGAAAAGATCGATTCAGTCGTACAAGCTAAAAACTTAAACATAGATTAACGATAGTTAAAAAAAAAAAAAAAGAAAAGAAATTAACGAATTTTTTGTTGGAAAAATAACATAAAAATGACATTGTAAGTGACTATTTTGTGGTACAAATATATGTGAGTTATACTTCCGATTTTGGTCGGGTCAATGTGGATTCGGGTTCTTCGTACTGAGACGAAGAGATTGATATATTATACGCTCAAAACAAATAATAGGTGAATGAGAAAATGAATAGACTGATTTCAGTTGGAAAATGAAGGTAGAAAGACTTAAAAGTAACATTTGTCCCACATTAAAAAAAAAATGAGGGAATTTGCACCACTATATATACAAGAGTCTTAAAGACATGTTAAATGTTAAATTGTATATTATCGAGGCTCTCTCTTGAAGCCTTGTAAAAGGCCTAACACATGTAAAAGTATTATTTATTTTTGGTTAAAGTGTCATCCCGCACCATGAACAATTCTTGATTATTCATGCCGCACCATGATCTTTAGTAATTGATATTTAGAGTCATAAACCATTTTTTTTTTGTCGTCTAGAACTTTTTACAAGTTTCCTACAGGTTATCGGTAATAATATTGCTGACATGGAATTTTTTATTAGTTTGTTTGGTATTTTTCTTCTTTCGCCATCGTATTATTATTTTTTCGTATTTTTCTTTTTTCCTAAACGTATAGGCCTGCTCTGCGTTTTTCACTTATCGTTTCTCCGATCAGGCATACTCTGTATAGGCCTGCTCTGCGGAGTTTGGTATAGGAGAAACGAGAAGCGAAATACGCAAAAGAATCCTATACGTTTATTTAGGGAAAAAAGAAAAATAGGAAAAAAATTATAATACGAAGGCGAAAGAAGAAAAATACCAAAAAAAGTAATAAAAAATTTTATGTCAGCAATATTATTACCGATAACCTGTAGGAAAGCTGTAAAAAGTTCTAGACCGAAAAAAAAAATTATAGTTTATGACTCTCAATATCACTTATTAAAGATCATGGTGTGACATAAATAATCAGTAATGGTTCATGGTGCGGGATGATATTTTAGCCTTTATTTTTATTTTGTAAGAGTTTTATGACAAACACGTTATTGTCCAACATTTTAATTTTTATGTTACTTTGATGAATAAGATAGTTTGGTGTGGTGTGGTAATTAAAGAAAAGAACAAAAAGGGAGCATGCATATATACATATATATAGTATAATTAAACTTGTGCAAGTGAGATTACACTGTAGTAGTCCTATAAAGGCAAAGCATGTATTTATTATATTTGAATAAGGTAAACTGAATTAATTAGGACAGGAGCCCATTTGGTCATTAAATAATTCTAATAATATATTTCATAGCCCACCTAATTTCTATCATACCCACTCTGTCACTACCAAGCTTCAAACTTCGATCTCTTTCTCCATATATATATATATATATATATATATATATATATATCACCTTTACTACTAAATCAGCCAGTGAGCTAAGCTCGTACAAACTGAAATATACATATACTTGTATATATAGTAGCTAGGATATGATACCAGGTATGATATAGAAGCTATATATATACTATTGAAATATATTATATTATATTATATTGTTACATAATTAAACTCCTGATAATTGCAGCCTCTGGGGTATCAGCATCTATGGTGGACAAGAGGTGAGAGAGACGGTCGCTTAGATCATCCACTTCCTTGTGCAAGTTCCTTATGTAGTTGCAAGTCTCCTGCAGCACCTTCCCCGCCGACGCCTATATATTATATAGAACGTAACAAAACACACACTTTATTAGTGTAGTGGGTTTCAAGCAACACGTGAACGCATGTACTCCATCTCAACTAAAAGCCTAAGCTGATAGTTTGATTATATGCTTAATAATATATCAGCTAAAGTTTTTAAGCTGAGATGGAACACATGATTCAACTGAAGTAGCTAATAATAGTACCTTGGCGGAGCGCCTAGAGCGAAGCTCAGGGAGAAGTTGCTGTAACTTGGAAACAAGTTGGATGATCTGGTCGTCTGAAATCCTGGAAGACGCACTTGACGACTGTCTTGAACGCCTGCTAGACATTCTTCAATATTTTTCTGTATATATATATGTATGTTAAATATATAATAATGTAATTAATTAGCTATAATACTTTACGTATAGTAAGTAGAATAAGAAGATAAAATTTATATAATGTAAAAGGAAAGGAAAGGAAAGGATGGGATCAAAATTAAGAATAATGGGAAAAAAGAGTGTTTTTTTCCTTTTAATTTTGGGAGAAATTAAAGAGAAGTAGATAGATGAGAGATGAAGAGAAGAAATGAAGGTGGTGGCCTGGGCGGAGTTGTTTAGAAATGGGGTAAGAAGAAAGTGATAAGCAAAGGGCTTTAAAGGGGGAGAGGACCACAACCAACACTAACAAAGGGTGGTGAAAACGCCCGTATAGTACGTATACGCTCCGACAGGACGCCAACAAGATAATTACATCTACTTATAATTTCACAATTTTCATTACATCCCTGATTTTGTTTTTCTTCCAAATATGTTATGTGTCGGTATAAATTTTAAAGGTTTACACATATGTATGACGGATGGAGTCGAGTCGATATACAAATGTAATACTTATACTAGTAAATGTAATATTAAATCAGGAATAAAATGTTTGTTATTTATAAGAGAAAAATATAATACTTTTACAGCGTGTTTGGCTCATGGAATAGGTCGGGAATGGAATATCATTCTCGGGAATAGACCTATTCCATTGTTTGGTTTGTCTTTTCATGTCTGGGAAGCATTCTCGAGAATGAGTTATTCCCTTTGCAGGGGGAATAGCCATTCCTAGGGGACCCCCCTGGTATTAGCTATTCCTAAGTATTTGGGGATAGCTTTTGTACTCTAATAGTGAAAATACCCTTTTTGTATTATATATATATATATATATATATATATATATATATATATATATATATATATATATATATATATATATATATATATATCACCACCATCACCCCCGCAACCGCCATCGCCACTAGCACCACCACTACCACCACCACCACCGCTACCACTATCGCTACCACCACCGCCGTCGTCGCCGCCGCCACCACCACCACCACATATTTTTATAAGGGTATTTTATGTCTTTTAAAACATATATCATTTCTATTCCTTAAACCAACCAAACACTGTAATATAATTCATAAAGTCTATTCCTTGCGCGAACCAAACAATAGAATACAATTCCTATTCTATTCCTTGCATATTTCATTCCTTATGGAATAACATTCCTATTACCTCAAAATTCATTATGTGAACCAAACGTGCTGTTATATTTTGATAAAGGAAAATGTCTTTGACATATACACATGTTATATATTTACTTATTTTTTAAAATCTGGTTTAGGTACATAATTTGTGTTCATAGCTAGACACAACATTTATGAAGGTCCAAGATATACCTTAGCAGAGCCAGAAAACCTAGCAACGATATAAAAAAAAATTGTTTATTTGGTTAATTTACACTTTTCTCGATACATCAAATTTTCCAATAATTTTAAATTTTCAGAACTCCTACCTAATAATTGAGGAGGTAAATCACGAGTCGGCAAGTAACGATTAATTTACACTTTTATTAGGTAGACATTAGTGGTGAATATCATAAATTGGATTGTTTACCTATTTTATGCTACAAGAATTTGATTGTTAAAATATATATTGCTCAGTATTGGAAAACACAGAAAGAAGAAGAAGAAGAAAGACAGATATTAACATGAGAGTTACCCATTACTACAAGTGTCAATTATTGTACAAATATCATGATGCCTTGATGGCCCGGTAACATAGTTAGCTTATCAGCTAATTTTGATTTATTTGACTATTATTAATTGTTTGACTTGGTTAAATATTAAATATAAATGTTTAATTAATTAACTTTTTGTAACATATATGTTACTCTAAAATGCTAAAATTCAAAAAGATACTTAAAGTAATTTTTTTTTTCAATAAGTTTTTTGATAAAGTCATTTTGATGTAATAAGCTATCAGCTAACAACTAATTTATCAAACATCTTTCTACAATAAGTTAATATTATCAACTACTCAAACTCACTAACTCAATCAACTAACAGCTAACATTTAACAGTTATTTACCAACCATCCCGATGTTTATCAAGTTAAAGGTTACAATTGGATTAAATAGGAATCAGTACAAGGGATTTTTATTTTAGAGATAGGAAAAACAATTATATATTCTATGTATATATACATATGAGTTATGACATTTCACTAATTCTTACATTCATCTGTTATCTTACATTTAATCTTTTTTTTTTTAAAAAAAAAAATAAATTTCATTAAATGATTTTATATAATATTAAATTGTGGATTAATGAGGTTGTTATTCTAAAAATCACCTAGTCTGTTATATTTTAAAGCAATTAAAAATGTAATGTTAGTTGTTAGATGCATGTAAATATTTGTTCACAGCCTTACAAATGATAATGTGCGTGATCTCATTTGATTAACTAGTGTTAAAATATAGAACAAATTACACTTTGGGTCCTGTGAGTATTAGGGTACTGGCAATTTGAGTACAGGACTTTCAAAACTCTCAATTTAAACCTTTATCTATTCATTTTTTGGCAGTTTTGGTCCTCCGGACCAAATTGTCGGCCAAAATTGGCCGAAAAATTATTTAATCGTTCGAATTGTTTTTGGGTGAGGGTAAAAACGTCATTTGTTATTTGCAGGACTTTCAAAACTCATCTTCCATTCATACGCATCTCGTTTCTTTCTTTCTGTTCAGTTCGTATTTGCAGTACGTGATTCAACTTCTACAAGTGCGGAACTTGCCTGCAGAGATCGATCGAGCTTATTTATGCTTGGGAGTAGTATTGGGGAGATTAGTTAATTAAGTTGTTGAAGATCGAATATTACGAATGAGTGCGAGGATGAGAAACTCGACGGCGGCGGCGGCGGCGGCGTCTTCGTCGGTGGCGGGGGAGGTGATGATGGAGATAGAGGCGAGCAAGCCGCAAGGGAATGGGATTGTGGTTGGGGGGTTGAGTCCTCTCAGCGAGACGCTGTGGAAGGAGAAAACTAACACGGAGTTCATGGGAGACGTCTCCGCCAGGCTGGCATGGAAGGATTTAACGGTTATGGTTACTCTCGGCAATGGAGAAACCCAGAATGTTCTGGAAGGTCTCGTCGGGTATGCAGAGCCTGGAACCTTTACCGCCCTCATGGGACCTTCCGGCTCCGGCAAATCTACTCTCCTCGACGCCCTCTCCGGCCGCCTCGCCGCCAACGCTTTCCTCTCCGGCAGAATCGTCCTCAACGGCCACAAAGCCAAGCTCTCCTTCGGAACTGCGGTGAGTAAACCGCTACTCTACTCTACTCCATCAAAATCTCCATTCCTTTTCCAAACTCTTTTTATCAATTTCCTCTCTCAAACCTTTCCACAGGCATACGTAACGCAAGACGACAACCTGATCGGAACTCTGACCGTCCGGGAAACGATCTCCTACTCTGCTCAGCTCCGGCTGCCGGATAGGATGCCGAGGACGGAGAAGCGCGCGCTGGTGGAGAGCACCATCATAGAAATGGGGCTTCAGAATTGCGCAGATACGGTGATTGGGAATTGGCACTTGCGAGGAATCAGCGGAGGAGAGAAGCGGAGAGTGAGCATCGCCGTCGAGATCTTGATGCGGCCCAGATTGCTCTTTCTCGATGAACCCACCAGCGGCCTAGACAGGTTAATCCAAATCCCGGATATATATCAATTTTCAGATCTCAAGAAACTAAAATAATACTATAATCTATACTCTAAACCTGACAATTTTGTATCTCCGTGATCTATCTGCGACAGTGCCTCCGTGATCTATCTGCGACAGTGCCTCAGCGTTCTTCGTCCAGTACTGCAAATAACAAATGACGTTTTTACCCTCACCCAAAAACAATTCGAACGATTAAATAATTTTCCGACCAATTTTGGCCGGCAATTTGGTCCGGAGGACCAAAACTGCCAAAAAATGAATAGATAAAGGTTTAAATTGAGAGTTTTGAAAGTCCTGTACTCAAATTGCCAGTACCCTAATACTCACAGGACCCAAAGTGTAATTTGTTCTAAAATATATCAATTCACAAATAGCCAATGAATATCAGGTATAATACTACATGAATACATATATATTTATGTATAAAATTTTGAATGCATGTACCAATTACATTAAACAATATAGAAGAATAGAGAAATTGTAGTGTTGTGCATAAAAACACCATATTCTCCAAAGGTACCAATTACGTTAAGCAAGCTTATAAGCTAGCTGAAAGTTAAAAGCTGAAAAGTTAGTAGATAATAAGCTAATTGATTGAAATTAAGATGTTTGGTAAAATTAGCTATTGAATAAGATGATAAGGGTAAAAAGACGTAAAATGACATTTTTTAAATTTATATATTTATATATTCAAATTTAAATATCAATATATATTACAATTTAAAGTCTATATATATATATATATATATATATATATATATATATATATATATATATATATATATATATATATATATATATATTTCACATTTATGATAACATCTCATAATATTGTAGAAGGCGCTAGTCGGGCGTTCGGGGGCGCCTAGCGCCTAGGCAATCAAGTAATTCGAGTATATTGTCTCCACTTTTTCCACTCAAGGCTAGAAGTTGTTAGACTGTTATAATCTCTCATACTAGTCAAATGCATATGTTAGATGGTTAGTTGAGTACATGGTTGGAGAAATATAGAAGACGAGTAGTCGAGCAGGAAAAAAAAACCCACTCAGCCGAGTTGAGCGCCAACTCGGTTGAGTTGGGCACTGACTCGGTTGAGTTAGGCGCCGGATTCGGCCGAGTTATGCGCTCAACTTGGCCGAGTTAGGCACCCAACTCGGCGCCTAGTCGGCCAATTAGTCGATTGGCCGACTAAAAGTCGCCTAGGGCTGAAATCGCCTCGGCCTAGGGGCGCCTAGCGCCTAGTCGGTGCCTAGGCAGCCAATTTTTACAACAATGCTTGAAGGTCACGAGTTTGAATCCTATCAACACTCTTTCGATCGAGCCTGTCGCAATATAAACATAATATAATATCATAATGTCATTTTTTTTTACCGTGAAAGAAGTGGCCAAATGGGTGAATGATGATTCTCGCACTTGAAGGTCACAAATTTAATACATATTAACACTCTTTTGATTGAGCTTGTCACACAAAATCTTCCTATTTACTGCACACCTTCAAATAATAACTACAAATTTATAAAACATAGAGTATGCCAACAACATTGTAAAAAGATAAAAGTAGGTAATATTATATTTGTCAAAGAGACATACGGAGGAGGAAGGGCATGAGTGATGAGTGGATTGAATTAAAAAATTTGGTGTGTGTTCCCATACCAGGGTTTGATCTCAAGTGGGCTTAAAGAATAGTGGCATAGTGGTTGTAAATGTAGTAGCAGGGTGGGCCTTCATGTGGATGTCTCCTTATGCAACTCCATGTGATCATTCCATACTCATTTGCCATTGCACCCCCTCCCCTTCATGCCATAAATTACTCTCCTCTACCCATCACTTGCAAAATTATTTACCACAATTAACGCAGCATATGCGTCACAATAATCATTCTGTTTTTCTTTTTTCCCCTCAATTACTAATTACTAATTTTTTTTTTGAGGGAAATCATTTTCTGTTTGCAGCACTGGAGCAGCCAATCATCCATCACCACCACCACCACTACCACTATCATTATATATTTTAAATATTTAAAATTTAAAATAATTATGCTCATTTTTCAGAAAATGAACCAAACACACCAAGATAGTTTTCTGATGCAAGCAAACACTGAAAAGGAAAATATTTTTTAGAAAATGACTTATTTTCCAAAAAATATTTTTCAGAAGTCATTTTCCTGCTTTTCGAACACACCCTTAGAGTTTGAATTATATAACATAGAGACTTTCTCGTGCACAAGTGGTGCAAATCAATTCCCAAAATATGGGGGTTCTATGAACATATGAATGAACTCTTTTTCCTCTAGAAACCATGTCTCTCTACATTGAAAACTTCTGTTCACTCTTTTAAAAACATATTGTTAGGTTGTTCTATCCTTGTTCTTGTTTTTTCGTGACATAAGAGTGTTTAACTATTTTGTCAAAAAAAAAAAAAATTTATCATGAAAAACATAAGCTACAATGTTGTTTGCTGTGATATAATAGTTTGAGTGCTTAATTATATATTTTGTCAAAATTTATTTTATCGTGGGAAACATAAGCTACAATGCCCTTACCCTTTTGGAAGATAGCAAATAAATTTTTAAGGACAATGTGTGCAACACACAACTTGAATTTGTTTTCCTTGATCATGATGGTTTTGCCTGTACTTTAAATAAAATTCCTACAAAGACGACTAACATTCTTCTCCCAAAAGATTGAATCTCTAACCTTAAAGTCCCACACTTCAGCTTAACAGAGCATTTGGGAGGATGTAAATTACGATTACTTAATGCCTCAGCAAAGAGTAACCTATTAGTTAGTTTGAGGAAGACAAATGGGCTTTCCTCGACCTGGATGGATTTGTGTTGTGGGTATAATTGTGAATTTTATATTGGTATACCGTTCCATATGTTTCCCCCCAAAAAATAATATTATTAGTTTCATAAATTTAATTTAATATATCGCGAGTTATTTTTTCTTTATGAATTTTTTGAGTTTATTTTATTTTTGATCACTTAATTGAAATTTGATTTATGGTTCATGACTTTTGTTTTTCAACTTTTAATACTCAATTTTAAAAAATGTTTCACTTTTGGTCCAAAATATATGAAATACTTTTACTTTAAGAAACTTTCATCAGACTCTACTCTAGTAACCTAAGATAAAATAAACATTATGTTATGAACTTTTAGTTCTTTGTGTGATTTATCGTCGGTGAAAACCTTATTGCACAATAAGAGATAGACAAAGAGAGAAAATGAGAAACGGCAATACAAAATACTCAGAAAAATGTACGGAAAATTCTCATTCATTCAGCCAACGAATATATATCTTCATAACACATTATATATATAAATTTTATTCTGACCAATACAAAGTATATATAATAATAATAATCCCTCGCTACAATTGTCATACGGTATGTTACCCAAACGCATGCACCATTAGGACATACACATATAGGTCTAAGATTAGGTGCGGAGAGACACTAAAGTAAAACATGCAGATAAATTTATGCAGATCAACGACTCTAAAAAAAATTCTACACTTCTAATATACAAATATGTGCATTCGAAGACAGAAAATTGTGCACTCTAAGAGAATAAAGTATGCACTCAAAGGGAGAAAAGTATGCACTGGAAGAAAATAAATTTTACACTTGAGGAGACAAAAGCATGCACTTGAAGAAAGAAAATAATGCACACAGACAAAAAATATATATGCACTTACTTACAAAAAAAATTACCAAAATGGCACCACATTTTTGTTTTAAATTTTTGATTCATTCTGGACAGTTGATCTAAATTACACCAATGACTAAGATTTAGAGCATCATCAATAGATGATAATT